AACATGAAAAAATACCCCACTCTCACAGAGAAAAAATGTGTTTGTGTTTGTGTCTGTGTCTGTGTCTGTGATTGTGTGTGTGTCTGTGATTGTGTCTGTGAGTGTGTGTGTGTGTGTGTGTGTGTGTTGGACGTCAGATTGCTGATCAAACACACCAGCACCTATTCTTACAGCCCAGAGGAATTCATGCACACATACATACGCGCGTACACAAGTATAAAGGTTCAGTTGTCAGAGGTAAAATCAATCTACATCGACATTAAAGAGGTAATTTATGTGCAAGATCGGTAGCTCAATGAAGTGTTTCATGCAACGCTGAGCTGATAGAAATCAGGAATTTACCTCATGCTAACAGCACAAGGCTTGCGTTGTTCGACGAGTTCCCCCACATTGAGACGCAACGAGAGTCAGTGTTTACACAATCATTATGTAACACATCTGTGTTTGAGCACAGCTCCTTTAAAGGCATCATGAAATCGAAATCAGCACTATTTACTTTCCTAATCAATGTTTCTGGTCTTATTGTGCACAAATCAATGGTGCATGCCATTCTAAAACAAATAAAATGTTTGCCGAAACTTCCATCAAATAATAATCTTCTTCATCTCCAAGACAACTCGTCTTTTCACACAAGGCCTTTCACACTTGGGGAAAGAAAAATAATATCAACTTTCTGAAATAACAAAAGTAGTGCTCGCCCAGTTTTATGCCAAGTTTTACAGTCCACTAGAAGAAAATCGCAAGTATGCAAAAATAAATGCAATAGCAAATCTCCCCATATGCAAATGTAATATATGTACTGTACATACAGTATATTAAATTTCAGTATATGAAATATATTGTCATATGAAGTAAAAGCATATATGAAACCTATTAGAAATTCGAACAATCATACATTAACACACCTAGCTCAATATAATGTGCATATAATGTATGTCATTTACATGTATATCCATCATAAAATCCATTAATACATGTTAATAATATATAAGTAAATATAAATGTCAAACATGTATTTAAAAAATTACAAAAACAGAAACATATACCTTTTTTATAGACTGTTTTAATAAAGTTGCATATATAAATAAAAAAATGCCCAGGAAGATAAAATTTGAATTCCACTTTACGAATTTCAGGATTTTCTGACCTCGGTAAATTAAGTAAATCTGATGCGCATATCGTTGACTCTAAATCCAACGCAGCAAACTGATTTATAATATCAACCAGTATAAGATACCATTATAAGAGATATTATTAACATATGTATACATATACAGGTTTTACTATGGGGATTTTATTATATATATATCATCTTATAAATAACATGCAAATATCACTCTTGATATCAGGCAATATATGTCATATATCATTTCATTATATGGGTCTCCTCAAAAATGCAACAATTTGAGGTATCATTCATGTCTGTACTCTGTAGCACAATGGGATTGGTTAGGTTAAATACTTATTATATATTAAGTATACAGTAATTGTTTTTAGTTGCCTTAGCAAACAATATTATATTGTACGTTTCACAATCTTAATAAATACATTTTTGGAAATAGTTGACAATGGATGTTAAATGCAATGTGAATATTCTATTTTGCATAGTTGTAATATAGTGTCAAATATTGCACAGTCTGAAAACTTCAGAACTTGAGTTGAAGGAAGTTTGTGGGGTTTTTCTTGCTCTGTTTGTTCCCATGGGACTGTGTTTCGATACTGCGGCAGGTCAGAAGTCAGAGGTCACGTTTTAAGGTCAGAAAGGAACATCCGGGCAAAAGAGTTCATGTGTGTTCAAGAGCTCCATTCACTTACTGTGATATCTCCGTGAGAAATTCTAGTGAGATCAAAAACTTAAAATAAGCGAGATCCCAATCTGGGTGTTCATAAGGGGCGGGGCTTAGCATCTAAATTATGGGTTCTACTCCTTTTTCCCCTTTCAATGTCTCTCTTTAGCATGCAGGTGAGTGACATCATGCCAACGGGGCAGTTTCTCGCACTGCTGCGGTGAATCTAGCGTCAGCTTCTAAGCATTCTGCCGGGAGCGTCTCAAAGTGCTACGTGTACGCTAGGGAAAATAATTCAGCATGTTCCCTCGTTCTCTGGACATGAGCTACTGCAAACCAAACATGGGCCTCAGCTCCTGTGGAGAGCAATAGCAGTCGTTTATGACGTCTGCACATTAAGACACATTTTCTGGGACGTTTTAGTCTCTGAGTGGAGCGAAAGAAGAAAAAATGGAATAGAGTTGTGGAGTTTTTCCCTCCAGATGCTCATGTACCCCTCTTAACTTTCACCAACCCCCACTTCCTGCTCAGCAACAGCAAGTCCAAACTTGTTTGGTTTCTCGTACTCAAATGTCTGCCCTTAGTGTGTTAACATATATTAAGATATACGACATATTCAAATAGAAAACTGTCAAATTTAAAATTGTAATATTTTATATTACATTTAATATTTAATATTTTGACTGATTTTATGATTTTTGTGTTTTGATCAAATAAATGTAGCCTTGGTGAGCCTAAGACACTTCATAAACATTAATAAAATCCAAACTTTTGGATTATAGTGTGAACTTTCATCAAGATATAATAGCCGCCTCTGCCTTTAAAACGACTTTTCTTTTTGATGACATCAAGGCCACTCAAGTCCACTTATTATAGCTTTCTTGCACCAAAAATGCCTGTAATTTAGTTTCCATGACCACTTTTCTCTCTCTCACTTAACATAAGAATGAATGAAACAGTTTTCAATTTAATTAAGCAAGATTTGTTTTTTGTTTTTTTGTTTTTTTACACTGTACCTTTAAGATACGTAAATATATATTGTACGTAAATGACCTCTGTTATGACTTGGTTAAACATCACCACCACTAAGTTGTAAATATGTAAATGTTAATGGGTTGTTACATTATAACTCTTTTAATGTTTCATTGCAAACATTAGAGTATTCCTTCAAAATCTTCAAACTGTTATTTTACAATAACAAGGTAATTCTTGTTTAGCATGAAATGACCCCTTTTAGTTTGTTCTTTAATAGTATCAAAATGTTTCTCTGTTTCTCTGTTTGTTTTAGCAGAGAACACTCTTGCACGTCTGCAATTTACGCTTCTTGTACAAGCACAGAGTGGTGTTTTCTCATGCAGTTCTGGCTCACTTGAGTGTGAGAGAATGTGTGCACGCTGTTTGTATTTAAAGGTTGAGATGGTTTAATTAATATCAGTGTCGGCAGTGTGCTGTGGAAACGGTGCAGTAATTCCCTCTGAGCATGTGTTTGAGAGAAGAGAGGGAAGAGATATCTGAGTGAAATGTGAGGGAAGGGAATAGAGCTGAACCTCTCTGGGTCAACAGTACATTTGAGTTCAGTTAAATGTGCTCAGGGTACTATAAAACCCACGAGTAGATTTTGTCTGCTGTTACCCCCTGAGAAACACTGGCTCTCCGGTTCAGCTCTTGGAATAAAGTCTGATATCATTCTAACAGCACTTTTAAACCCTCAAGTCCTCTGTAAGAAAAACTACTCCCAGAACACCAAGATTAAAAGGGCCAAATCATGGGGAAAATAGATTTTTTTATTCATTTTTTTATATAAGTTCAATGTAGTATATGGACATAACGTTATAGACTAAATATGGCAACAACAAAAAAATACTAAAAGCAATGCTAGTATGGTCTTGCATTAGCGGTTAAGATTAATTATAATTAATACATAGTCAATATAATTAAAAGTCGCCTATAGGGATTTTTAAGCATGTTGAGCCACTAGATGGCGACAAGTGACGGTCTTTATGAACGAGTCATTTGCTTAACCGATTCGTTCAAATCACTGATTCAATCAAGAAGGAAACACCACCATCGTATGTTTCAAGGAGACATACAGCGATAAATTTGTGTATTGAGGCTGTTTTACAAAAATATTAACTCAGAATCTTAATTCGTCTGTCACATAGGTAATCAAGCTTTTTCAAAACTTAATTCAGATTTAATATAGTCTCTGTTATACAGCACCTGTATAAAAGTAGACAAGCACGCTGATATTAATTAAACCATGGTCTGAATTGCGTGGTTAAATTAATATTTTCAATGTCTGTCATACCGATTCGTTCAAATCACTGATTCAATCAAGAAGGAAACACCACCATCGTATGTTTCAAGGAGACATACAGCGATAAATTTGTGTATTGAGGCTGTTTTACAAAAATATTAACTCAGAATCTTAATTCGTCTGTCACATAGGTAATCAAGCTTTTTCAAAACTTAATTCAGATTTAATATAGTCTCTGTTATACAGCACCTGTATAAAAGTAGACAAGCACGCGGTTGGTCTGAATTGCGTGGTTAAATTAATATTTTCAATGTCTGTCATCATGTACTTACCCTTGTCTTGTGTTTAATTATTATGCATTCGGTGTCCTGGCTGGTTTTCCATACAAGTGAACGGGGAATGGCTGTCATACGCATAATTGTCATAAAATAGTTCATAGTTCACTCCTTGCGTGAAGCGAGTCAAGCGATAACTTTCTGTGATCATAAATGGCGAATTTTAAGTTGTTATTTGCAGAAAAACTTCCCCTCAGCAATAGCTCTCAAACCTCATTTGTGTACATTCAAATATGGCACGTCAAAGACGCATCATCACGCACGTTTTGACGTACTGTTAGCGTTATTAGCTCGTTTAAAAACAGGCAGAGGAAATAGAAGGAATGTTCTAAATATTAATTTAGTTTTTTTCTATATCTTTGTCTATATTTTGAAGGATGTGTTACTCAGAGAAAGTTATAAAGCATTGTTTTATTTTTTCATTTCCGCCATTATTTTTCATATATATCTCTCTGAAAGGAAAAAGAGGCCTACGTGTTTACTGATGTGTCATCATCCTTATTTTCTTGTAAAATATTATTTTCTTGAAATATCTTGACAGACTTTGATCAACGCCCCAGCAAACACGTTAATGTGGGGCCCAAATGGGTTTCACATGGGCTACAGGGGTACAGAGTGGGCATGGGCATAAAATGGGCATCTTATCTGGGGCCCACTTGGGTGACCCAGCTAGGACCCACATGGGTGAACCCAGGTGGGCTCCCCATGTGGTTCCTAGTTGGGTAATTAATGGGAAATTTGTGCATGGGCTCAAAATGGGCTACACATGGGACCCTATTTGTTTTATCAAATATACAAGTGCAAACATAATTAATCCCATATAGGGTGATTACATGGATATATATAGTGCACATATGCGTCTTTAAAATTATTTTTGTTGTTTTGACGCTTGGATTACTTAATCAACATCTAACCCTCGATCTGCATGGGACAGATCCCGCGTGATTTCATTCAGCATTTCCCATCCCCCACCCGGCATGCGCTGAATCACGCCGACGCAATTATTCACTGACCGCTTTGCTGTCATTTTCGGGAGGAGAGGAGACGTTTGCCATCAGTGTATCCAAGACCCATGTAGGCAGGCTCATGTAGGCACCAAATGGGAGCTACCTGGTTAACCCATATGGGCCCTATATGGAGCCCATCAAGGGCCCATCATCAGCCCATCTGTGCTAACCCATGTGGGGCCACCATGGAAACTGGGGACAAAATTAGCTGGGTCCCAGTTGGGTAGCCAAGGTGGGCCCCAGATATCAGCCCAGTTGCAACCCCTATGGGCCCCACATAGGTGTGTTGGCTGGGGCAGAGGCTGTTTTTGATCTGCCATAGCAACAGCCATGCCCATGAATAGCTCAGGGTCTATATAGAGAGAGACTCCAGTAAAACACAGCTTTAAGATTGATGTAATTACAACCATCCCTCTTTCTCTCTCTCTCTCAAACACACACACACACACAGCCACTACATAACCAGAGGAACAAATCATCAGCACAACCGCTATTTACTATGTTTAATCTTACCGGCAGCTCAGCGGTTTGTTTTAGGAAACGTAATGGTCACTCATTGTTACCATGGAGAGCACACGTGAAAAGATGTTTGCCATGTTTTGAGATGTGCTCTTAAAAATTGACATTTTACATTCATTATTTGTGTTTGTATGAATAGTGCAAACTGAACTGTTGGTTCAGTGACTCACATTTTCTTTTTTTTATTGTAGTTAGTTGTGTACATGTAATTTGGGGACGAAAGCTCAAAAAGGTCAGACAGTCATATAATGAGAGCAGGTGTATGGTGCAGAGACTGGATCGACTCCAGGCCTGTTTTTATGGCACGGAGCAAATATCCATTTATTCCATTTATTTCCCTGACTGCAGCCGTGGACAACAAATCATTCGTGAGCCAAATGAGCAAGCGAGTTAAGGGTCACCTTCAGAGAGGTTCAGTCTAAAAAATTGAAGGGGGTCTGAATACTTTCCGTACCCACTGTAGCTGTGATAAAAAAAAAAAACATGCTTCATGATGGATTCTTTTAGTCTGGTTCCTCTGCCTATGATCTACACATCTCTTGTTTGGCAGATTAAACAGCAGGTTGCTTCCGCTGGTTTCAGTTGTTTCTGTTTCCATGTGAATGTTCCGGATATCTGATGGGGTTTTGAGGAACTAGGGTGCGTCTGATTCATTCACAGGATGAGGAGACAGAGACCCACTCAGTTCCCTTTGAGCACTAAAAATACAGACTGGAGCGGCCCTCACGACAGTGCCATCTGCCCTGGGCAGACGTCCAGGGACATACACACGCACAAGCACACAGTTTCCCAGGGCGAAGGATGCAAGAGCAATAGCAGCATCATATGATTAAGATAGTGTGACTTAGAAAGTCACATCAAAGAACAGGACTGCAACTAAATCCACTTACTTTATGCTCTAAATAGCATGTAAGATTAGGCTGAACGCATCCCAAAGCATAGTATGTTGAAAATAATACTATTTGGAGTGTATGCATCCATGCATGCTCTTTCACCCCACTTTTTTAGCACCCTTGGTTCTGGAAGCATTTTTTCCAATGGACAACTCAGACAAAGAGACAGATACAAGACTGTACTTAATGACTTATCTTATGAAGCATTGCAAATAACAAAAACGATTAATGTTAAAGATGTTATATATAGAAACAATATATTTTACATTTATTTTAATATCTGCATATTATGCATAGTAGTTTGAGATCAAAGGGAAACTATTACATCATTTGTAGTGCTTTATAGGAGTTAGTGTTTTTTTTGGCGCAATATACTTGTCACAGTTCACTGATTGGTGGGGATTTCTCTGCAGGATCATGGGTAATGTAGATTTCATCAGGAATTCCATTGTTGAACACCATTATTTAAAAAAATAAGTTGAAATAATGCAGCTTGATGCAGGCTTCAACAAAAGCATATCCTATTGATTAATAATCATATAGCTCATAGTAGGTCTGTCTATAAAGGTTTATTGTTCAAAATCAGTTCCCTTATGAAGAAAATGAATGGGCTTTTTATTTCCTGAACGTGGTTGTTGCGCTCTATAAAAGTGGAGCTTTGATTGTTTTTGACTTTTATATTGCATTAAAATTCCATGACACTTTTAAATATATTTTATTGTGTTATGCACATGCAATGTGTAACAAATGGTTGTGTGATCAACAATTTTATGTCCAACAGCATTCTGAATTAATACATACTCTGAATTATGTACCATCACTGATAAACTTTTAGGTCAGTTTAATTTGAAATGCATAAGGACGTTTTACTTCATTATTCATTGTATCTCAGAGTGAAACAGGATATTAAATGGGAAATAACTGGACTTTATTTAACATAATTGCATGGATTGTCAAAGTGGACAAAGAGGACGAGGGATTGAAAAGAGGCATTTGTCACATGAGCAGCAAATATGTTTTAAAGGTTTAAAATCAACTTATTGATTTTGATGATTACAAAGACAAATGTCCAAGGAATGTGTAATAATAAAGTAAATAGGGTCAAATCTGCTTTCATGTTGGCTTTAAATAGATTTATTTTCCTACCAATGCCAATTAGATTTTGTCATTCCACTTTAGCACACATACATTCCATGTTTCTGTCCATACTGCCATCGCTCTCGATTTTTCCACTCTTGGTTTTCTTTTCAAACAGTGTTTCCCTCTTTAAAATAACTGGTGTGTAAAGACAGATGTGCCCTTTGCTTTAAACCAATGGAGTTTCGTAATCAACTAACCAGCAGAATAATGATGCTCATTCACAAACAAAAGCCTGCCTCCTGTGTTTTTAGCATGCAATGAGACGTGACTGGCCTATAAAGACAAGAGCTGAGCTGAGTCTTGGTTAAATGTATGGTGCATGTTGAATCCTGGAATGGCTGAGGGTCTTCAACACATGTGTCCCATTTAGAATCCCCTCAAAGAGATTTAACGGGTTCCAGATTCATACGTGCTGGCTGTGCTCACTGTGACCCTTGTGTCTTTTCTTGTCTGAGCATGCTCAGTGTGCACCGACAGTGGATTGAACCTTGAGTCCTTGGGCTCTAGTTGCCCATTCTACCTCCCGCGTGCACCGTGAATTTTACAACAAAAACAGATCTGATTATCGTACAGCTGAGGGAAATATAATCCCATATATTCTCTCTCTGGACCTTCCAGAAGGTCGTTGAGCTCCAAATTGGAGTTACAGGCTTCAGATAAATGTACTGTAGCTTCATTAAAATTAATCTCGCTTTGCTAGGTTCTATCTACTTTATATGCTATCTGAGGGCCTCAGATCTGTGTGGACAGTCTTTTGCAGGCTCAGATCTAAATGTTATAACCTTTTCAGCATTATAGATTAATATACGAGAGATCATATGAGCCTCTGCGTTTTGCTGTGCCTCCTGTTGTGTTTGACTCTTTCGGCGAGATTTATGTGTTTGTTTTTTGGAGTGCATCGACTGAATGTATATAGGGGGTATCTGTGAGAACCTTTTGCTGAACTGTGAAGATCTCTGGTGCTTTTGATGCATCGCTCACTCAAGAGTTCAAATGGGCATTTCAATTACTCTAAATATGGTCTTTGTTAATAAAATAGATATTTTGGCGCATGAAAATAGTTTACTCCCATAGTTTTCTGCACATCCAGTTCACTTTATTTACGGTGAGCATTAAGTGCTATATATCTCTCAAAACATTGTATTTCCTTTGTGCATGAATACAGAGGAACAAACAGAAACGCAACTAGGCAGGATGCCACTGTCTTAGGAGTAGCGGTTAGCTAATGACAGTACATTTTGCCAAATGATTTTATACTCTATTATGTATATCTAACAGGATAAAGAAGTCATTTACTCAAAAATCTGTCATTGTTTACTCACCCTCATGTCATTCCAAACCCAGACTTGCTTTCTTATGTGGAACAAGGAATTTTGAAGAATCTAGTGATATGTTTCCATGCAATTACAATCAAAGGGTACAAACGTTCAAGTTTCAAAAAGGATGGAAAAGAACCATGAAAGTAGTCCAGATGACTGTATTCCAAGTCTTCTGAAGTCATACTTTAGCTTTGTGTGAGGAACAAATCAAAATTTAAGTCAGTGTTTACTGGTAATCTTTGTCTGAATAATTTAGTGAGTTCAAGTAAACAGGTAAAAAGAGTGATTCACCTTGGATTTACATTAGATTGAGTACACTCAAATCACTCTGATAGTTGAATAAATCCTTCAGACTGGTTTGTGAACCAGATCTAACGATTCACTCAACAAGGGGTGAGTAAATGATGAAAGGATTTTTATTTTGGGGTGAACCGTTCCTTTAATTCATATGAAATTGTGATATTTTTAACCTTAATTTACCATGGTAAATTTGATTAGTATTTGCCTAATATGTGACGTTTTTGTTGTAACAATAGTATCCTGTTGATGATCTCGGATAAGGGAATTACATGAGTCATAAATTGACTCCTGAACCTCTACCAAGACATTTGACCATAGTTCCTGTGAGAATGTTCCATTTCTGGATCCTTCCCAGAATTCCATAAAGGGGTTTCCCAATGAGTCTGGCCGTATAATGTTACCGTGGCGTAGACGCTGATGATTTGGCCCCTGGAAACCTATTCAATGGAACAGGGATCTCCTTGACATAAGGCCCAGGAGTGATGTGTGAATGATTTACTAAAGGAGTGAAAGCAATAGAGGGAAAAAAATCAAATTTGCAATCCAAGGCAGGTGGCTACATTAGCATACAGCCGAATATTACTACACTGAGCTCTGGGAATCCTGCAGAAAAGCAGTTATATAAACATTCTCATGGGGCCGAAGCTGGAACTCTCCAGAACAGTGTCTTTTCTATACAACAGCTGACAAGACAGCTGGAAAAGTTTTAAATTCAAACTTCCATCTGCTGTGTGTCTTCCCACTTCCACATTCACACATTAATGGTGCACGTCATCATTAAAATATTTCAAAAAAAAAAAAAAAATCTCCCTCTGTTTTTGCAGCTTCCTATTTCGGAGACAGCTACTGTCGGATAGATGCCGTTCAGGACCTGTCAAGTTTTCAAGTGTCGCTCCAGTTTAAAACAAGCAGACGTAGCGGTCTACTCCTACTGGCGGCAGGACACAGAGATTACCTCTCGCTGGAGCTCTACAATGGCAGATTACAGGTGAAATACAGTACATTTAGATCACCAACAGCTGCACATGTCACTTTAAATCACCCTTTGACTTCTAGTTGCTTTGTTGCTGTAATTCACTGTCAGTGTGAACACTCTTTAAGTGTTAAACTGCTTTGGATTAAAAGTACCTTTTATATGATGACTTATACACTAAAGACAGAGATCAAATCTGGCAAAATCAGAAAGCACAGGGTGCAGTTCTGCAAAATATCTACTTTGTAATGTAAATTAAAACCCAGACTGACTAGACAAATAAATCAAATCTCCACTAGTTTCTCATGGCCCTTCAAGACTTCAGGGCCCCAGAAGGAGCCACACACTGAGAAAATCTCTTGTGAGTTTTTGAGAAGCAGCCGTTTGGTTTGTGGTGAGAGGGATGACTCACATTCGCTTCCAGCTCCGCTGTGACTGAATCGTCAGTTTTTTCAGCTCAACACATGGAAAAAGCTTCCACGGCTTGAATGAGTTACTGGTTTGCTCTGAGATATTTCTTCTTCATCTGCAGCCTCCCTAGAAAATGGCTCCCGCTCCGCATAGATAAACACAGACGCTCAAACTGCCTGCATTATGCTGCAATATGAAACGGTACCAAGACTATTTCATCGGTGGCAGGATTTGTCATTAAAAACGCATTTCCACCGACATATTCAATTCATGCAGATGTACTTTTTTTTTCTTTGGAGACTGCAGATCTGAAATGAGATCTGTGATATTTTCAGTTTAGGTGGCTACGGAGTGTTTGAAATACTGTGTAGCCAACTGATCCAGCAAAGTCTGTATTAGAATTTCACAGCTGAATGCATGTATAATGCACTGTGAAAAAGTATACTCTTAACCAGTACCTTTGTCTTGTATTCTAGTTCTAGTTCTTGTATTCTATGTTTAAAGATAAATGTACCTGAGAAGCAAAATTACATGTATTAAGAAACCATTACCTAGTTGTGCTTTTGGAGCAAGGAAACCCCAAAACCCTGAACAAACTTCTTATACTAACATGTATTAACCTTCAGCATGCAATTCCTCCAGCCAATTTGTGCTACAAACATGAATGTTACCTCAAATTATATCGCGGGAAATAAACCAGGACATCTTAGCAACCGATTAGCAATGTACTACAAAACACTCAGAACAGCTTAGAAACTGCATTAAAAATACCCTGCTACCCTGTTGAAAAAACAGCATATGCTGGTTAGCTGTTTTGAAGCATGGTAGCTGGTTTGAGCTACTAGCTCCTGCTCAGGACCAGCTTATAACCAGCTCATGACCAACTAAGGACCAGCTTAAACCAGCTCTAACCAGCTACCATGCTTCAAAACATACCTAAACAGCATATGCTGTTTTTTTTTCAACAGGGTAACCACTCAAAACACCCTAACATCATGGCAGCAACTTTTCCACTGGCAAACAGCACAAACAATTTTTTCCAGTAAATGTAAACATGATGTTTTGCTTTTTATATTTAACAGTCACTTTTGTTGTTTAATAATTTGTTTGTCTGTGTATCTTTACAGGCTAGAATTGACATGGGCTCCGGAGAAAAGGTTCTCTCCTCCACCATGGGTCTCCAGCTCAGTAACCTTCTGGACCATCATGTGTCTCTCATTCTGAAAGACTCCAAACTTACTATGGCTGTAGACAACCTGTACACCACCTTCATCCCAGCGGAGAATGAAGATGAGCACCTGAACATCGACCAGGGCGTGTTTCTTGGGGGCGTGAGGGACCTGGAAGTAGAGTACCTGAGCACAGCTGTTCCCTTCCTGCGTGGTTGCATGAGCAACGTTATGTTTGAATCTCATGAATTTGATATTCTGGCTTCAGCAGCTACAGTCTGCTATGACACCAAGGGGAGCTGCAGCAGTGAGTTTGAGGCAGGGGACGGAGACACCACAAGCTTTATCAGTGCAGAATCATTCATCTCTTTCCCTACCTGGACCAGACCTAGCTCAGGCTCCCGTAGCCTGGAGATGCTGATGAAGACGACCATTGAGGATGCTCTGTTGCTCTTCCACCCAGGACACCAGACAGACTTCATTGCCATCGGAATGGCAGGAGGGTTCCTAAAAGGTGTAATGGATCTAGGAAGTGGAATGTATGTGCTAGACAATGTGGAGGTGAAAGTGGATGATGATCAGTGGCACAGAGTAAAAGTTCAAATTGACCGCAATGAGTTCTTGATAAATGTGGACAGTCAAACAGTTTCACTCCCTCTTAATGAGACAGAAAAGCTGGATCTAGTGGGGAACCTGTACCTGGGAGGTATTCAAAGGAAGATGAAGGATGTGTTTCAAAATTATTTGGCTCGTGTGGAGGAGGAGGTCACAACGGAGTCCTTTATTGGATGTTTAGGAGAAATCAAGGTGAATCAGAAGGGCAGAAGCCTGCAGGATGCTCTGATAACTAAAGACATTCATGGAAAATGTGAAGGAGAATATGATTACTCAACCTATGATGAAGATTTGGAGTTAACAACTACACCTCCAGTAAGAATCACATACATTAATGTCAATACTGATGAAAGACACTGTTTCCCTGCAGAGGAATTGCCAGAGATGTTCCGCAATATTTCCAGGCTCCTGGACATCACTCCTATGCTGGTTCCTGAGGGAGGAGAGGCCAACATCGACATCGTAAACCTAAACCCAACATTTAACCTAAAAGCTGCAGGTGTTCGTGAATCTGAGATCATCTTTACTCTGCTGAATGATCCCTGGTATGGACTGGTTGATATGAACTTAAGACAGACAAGAGTAAAGAAGTTTACCCTTCTGGATGTTGTCAACAAGAAAATCAAGTATCTTCATAATGGCAATGAAAGGTATGGAGATCAAATCCAGCTAGAGGTGACTGTTCATGGAACGAATCTCCCAGAGTGCTTGAGTGTTGCACGCAAGTATGTGCTACCAGTGGAGATCATCCCCGTCAATGACATCCCTCAGCTCAGTGCAGGTGACATCTCAATCACAGCTAACAGGCGCACACGTTTGAGCCCAAACCTCATTAAAATCTCAGACTCTGACAATCGTTGTGATGAACTCAAGATAACAGTCACGTCGGACCCTACTGCTGCTGGATATCTGGAGAATGCTCAACAGCCAGGATTTGGTCTAAGAGAGTTCACTTGTAGACAACTGAAAGAAGGAAATATCTACTACGTGCACAAAGGTGGAGAAGTGCCAGAACTTACCCTGCAGGTCTCAGATGGAGATTCAGTTAGCAACTCCAGCACATTTAAGTTGCTTATAACCCAGCCACAGATGACAGTTGTCACAAATACTGGCCTTCTGATCACCCAGGATGACAGCACCCCTATAGGAATACAAAATCTGGCTATTTCTGCAACTCCAGAAACTGGCGATGTTGTATATAATGTCACTCAGCCACTTCAGTTTGGAGAACTGCAGTTGATCTCAGACGATGGGGTACCAAAAAGAGTCACACTATTTCACCAGTCTGATCTGGAGCAGAACCGACTGAAATACATTCCCAACCCCACAGCTGATCTCAAGGGCACAGAAACAGAGTTTATTCACTTCAATGCACAGCTTGGACAGGTCATCCTCCCAGACAACTTATTTATAATAAAGATCATGCCTGCCCTTATAGGAATAGGTAAAAGGGTTCCTCTGGAAGTTGAAGTTTGGCAGCAAAAAGTCATTAAACCTGAACAACTACAAGCTTTTGTGATGGAAAGCAACACTGATTCAAGATCAATACAGTACATGATTACGAAAAGCCCAGTCCAAGGAGTCTTGATGATGCTTGATAAAGAGTTGTCTGATGGTGATACCTTCACCCAACAAGACATTTTGAGCGGTTTCATCAGTTACAGTCCTCGTGTCCGCAGAGCGGTTGACTTTGAGGATCAGTTCCAGTTCAAAGTATTTGCAGAGGATCAGTACTCCAGAGTGTACACCTTTCCAATCAAAATCAAGGCTGATTCTGATGCTCCTGTCCTCATCAACGAGAGACTCGTTGTGCTGGAAGGAAATGAAAGCATCATAAATAAAGAATACCTCTGGGTTCAATCCTCCACCTCAACAGACTTTGTGTACAGGATAGTGCAAGATCCCAAACATGGTCGTCTTATCAGGGACTCCCCACCAGGAATGCAAAGGTTTGATGGTGCAATTCGAGTCTTTAGCAATGAGGATCTCTCTTTGAATAGGTTGGTCTACAAACATGATGGATCAGAGACAAGTCATGACCAGTTTTCCTTTCTGGCATTTGATTCAAGAGGTGGCAATGGTTGGCAAGAAGAGGGTCATGAGGTACTGAGGGGAGTGTTTAACATTGCAATACAATCCAGGAATGACTACGTACCTCAAAGGGTAATCCACAAACCTTTTAATGTTATCAGAAATGGCCAGCATTTATTGACCACTGAAGACATTTTGTTCAGAGACGATGATTTAGACTTTAATGACACCCAGCTGGTTTACGTGAGAGTGGGAATTCTTTCAGGAAACATTGTCTCCACAGCAGACCCAACGCAACCTCTCTACCGCTTTACTCAGGCTGACCTGAGGGACGGGAAGGTTTTGTTTGTCCATCATGGGGCAGATCGTGAGCGATTCCAACTTCAAGTATCTGATGGTTTTCATAAGACAACAGCTGTACTTCAGGTGCAAGCAGGTGACCCTTATCTACGTATAGCCAACAATAACATGGTGGTCATGGACCATGGTAGCACCAAGACACTGAACACCAGTCTGCTAAGTGCAGAGACCAACATGGACATCAGAAGTGCAGCTGAGATCATTTATGATGTGACTTCTCCTCCCAGTGATGGTAGGATTATAGTCAGTGGAATTGAATCTTCCACATTTACACAAGAGGACCTGACTAAGGGTGTGGTCTCCTATGAACACAGTGACCAGAGCCTTAGCTCGAAAGATTCCTTTGCCTTCACTGTGCAAGCTAAGGGTTGGTCCACAGAAGGCACTTTCAGGATTAAGATATTCAAGAAAGGATACCTGTCACAGCCAAAGGTCACGTCAAACATGGTGATCCTTGCCTATGAAGGAGAGCATTCTGTTATTGATGCAAGCCACCTGGAGGTAAAACTTAATACCTTTCTTAAATATATTTTTAAAAATATTAATGAATTTTTCTCATTCTGTTGGCATTTTATGGCATGTTTTGAAAATTAGTTTATGCTTAAACGTGTGTAAATTGTTAGTAAAAATCGTTCTTGTAGATGCACTACAGAATTCTGACCTCTCGATTGCCATTTGTGGATCAAAACATAAAATTGCAAGTTGCTGCTCAGATATAATTATTGTACTGTAGTGAATTGGGTTTAAACAACAACAGTTCTGAACACTGATTTTTTTTTTCACTCAATGTCAAAATTAGATTAATTTGTATCACAAAAAAAGAAAATTGTTACCAAATCAAGTGCAACAATTTACACACAAAAAATGGTTTTCATCAACTTGTGTTTTAGGAAAGAGGCCATGAGTGTGCTTTCATGTCAAGTCATAAGTTGTTATCCAAAGGCAGAAAGCCAGTGCTTTAAACAGCTCACATATAGCAAAAATATTAATATCAGTTTACAAAGACTTCTAACAGTCCTTAATTATAATTTGTGTTCAACAGCTGTTGTATTACTGCTGTGGAAGTTTCCAGAACCGCAAGAGCACTGCTCCCAAAATCCCTGAATGCTGGTCTCATAAATCTATCCAGGAGCTGCTTTGCATTTAGTTGCAAACTGTGTGTTTTAGAAGAAAGAAAATGTTTCAAATGTAGTTGAAACTCTGCAGTGGTTCTGCTATTGTTGACGCTCCACTGAGTGTACTTTCAGTAATTACCCAAGTGTTGCAGTAGAGGAAACAGCCTCTGCTCAGATTCATTAGGACATTTGTGATGCCTGACATTGATTTACGTTTTGTGCTACTTTTTCCTCCAAGTGTTTCTGAGATTTATCACATGCTAAATAGGGGATTTGGCATAATGTAATTTATGATAACAGCTCAAGGTTTCTATAATGTACCATTCAGGGCCATTTAATAGATCAAAACATTTTTTATGTATTTTTAAACTATGTAAATATTACTCTAAGATTTAAGTTGAAGGGATAGTTCAGCCAACAATTAAATTCCTTTATTCATCCTCATGTAATTCCCAATGTACCTTTCTTTCTTCAATGTCATTTCCATTTACATATGTTCAAATATGGCATGTCAAAATAAGTTCATGTCCTAACATTATTGATATGAAACGTAATATTTAAATGTATGCAAATACAAATTCAGATAGCTGGTACCTGGCTCTCCGTAGGGATATGCAGTATTTGAAAGCAGTTTTTCCAGGTTCTTACTGCACTCATTTGAAGGTCTTCTTGCCATCCTCTTAGGTGATGCAAAAAGACATCCTGCCCAAAGAGATGGTGTACTCCGTCAAAGACTTTCCACGGCTGGGTCATGTGGTCAAACTCAACAACGACTCAGACAATACGGCGTCACCCGTGCTGGACTACATTCAATCCTTCACACAAGAGGACATAAACCTGGGCAGAATCTTTTACGTCTCCGTTTCCCTTCAGGGCCAGGACCATTTTACCGTCGATGTTAGCAATGGCTTCACCACCATAGAAGATCTACAGGTGCAGGTGGTCATTTTTCCACGCATCATACCCATCCAGGTGGTCAACCTCACCGTGAGGGAGGGTGGATCTGTGGCGCTGACCCAAGAGGTTCTGAATATCACACACCACTTCTACCGTTCCATGAACATCGAGTTTATTATGGAGGAAGCACCTCAGCATGGAGATATTAAGTATCTGGATGAAGAAGATGGACTTCTCACCTTCACCTGGGAGGATGTGAGTGCCAACAAATACACAACATTTTACTATTATTTATATACAATTATAAAGTGTTCATTATATTAATGTTTTGAATTAGCTTTTATTTTTATGTTCAGTTTTCATTTTAATTTAAGTTTTAGTCATTTTATTATGTGCTTTTGTCACTTTTATTAGTTTTTGTTTTTAAAATATTTATATTATATATAGCTTTATTTTTTATTTCAGTTAGTTGTAAAGGCAACATTTCTAATTTTCATTTCACCTCGGGAAACATGTTCACCAACCCTTATATGGGCGTCAGAGGAGTGGTCATGGTTATAAAGCTTGGGAAGAGGAGTGGCCATCTTAAAAAACATGTTCAGCAACCCTTATATGGGCATCAGAGGAGTGGCCATTGATGTTAGGTGTGGGGATGGGAGGAGTAACCTCAGAAACATATTCGTCAATCCTTATGGGTATCAGAGGATATAGATTTTTTCCATTGAATATTTAGATTGTATTTTATTTTGGCTTTATTTCAATTACTGAAAACATTTTTGAATAGTTTTGGTTTCTTTTAGTTTTAGTTAAGAATCACAACACTGACATGAAATAAAAAATTCTGTAATAATTTACTCGTTCTCTAACTTTCTTCTGTGGAACACAAGATGAGATATTTAGCATAATCTTCACACTGATTTTTACTATACAATTATTGCATATTGTGTCCAGGAGGTCTGAATATCCAAAAAGGACACAAAATCTCCATAACAGCAGTCCACATGACTCATAAAACTATATCGATACAGCTAGAATATGCAAATGAGATTTAAGATCTGCAGTGGCCATCATGTGACTTCAGAAAACTTGAAATAGAATAGAATAGAATAGAATAGAATAGAATAGAATAGAATAGCTTTTTATTGTACAGCTGTACAACAAAAAAATTGTTTTGCTCTCACATTGAAAAGTACACATACATACAAAAATGTACATTTAACAAAATGCAAACAATGATACAGAAAAAGTAAACCGTGCAAATGTAAACAGGTGTACAGTAGACAGTGCAAATATAAACAGTTATATATACCAAATGTGCAAAATAGGTATAGTGCAAATGTAGCAGATACTGTATGTACAGTAGTGAATTAAATATTAATAAATACAAGAGAATTGAGGAATAAATATATAAATATGAGAACAGTGTATTGCACAGCTACACCAGTAGCTGTATGAGTAGTAAGTGTATAGTCTTTAGTATACCACAACCTTGAAGCTTGTGATTGAGTGATATGTCTTCTATTAATTGGAGTTCAGTTCTAAGATAGCACGTGGATAAAAACTGTTCCGGAGTCTGGAGGTGTGTGTCTTGAGGGATCTGTAGCATCTTCCAGGGGGCAACAGAGTGAAGAGGTGGTTGTCGGGGTGGGAAGAGTCCTTTATTATACTTCTGGCCCGACGTATGCATCTGGTGCTGTAGATGTCAGCAAGTGAAGGCGGTGATTTTCTGTGCGGAGTTGATGACTCTCTGCAAAGCTTTTTTCTCAGTCATAGTGCAGCCAGCATCCCACACCAGAATGCCATGGGAAAGTATGCTTCCTACTGAACAGTGGTAAAAGGACACAAGCAGCTGCTGAGACAGGTTCGTTTTCTTCAGCATCCTCAGAAAGTACAGCCGTTGTTGTGCCTTCTTGACCAGGGACGTTGCGTTTACAGTCCATGCGAGGTCCTGGGAGATGTGTGTGCCAAGAAATTTAAAGGTGGTCACCCTCTCCACCGTTTCTCCTCCAATGTATAGAGGGGTTGGTTCCTCTTTCTGTTGGATTGAGTGCCAGGTTGTTACTGATGCACCATTCTGAGAGTTTAGCCACCTCCTCCCTGTAGGCAGATTCGTCACCATTTGATATTAACCCCACCACAGTGGTGTCATCTGCAAATTTAATGATTGTGTTTGTACTGTGGGTTGGTGTGCAGTTGTGGGTGTATAGTGAGTATAACAGAGGTCTCAGCACAGAGCCTTGTGGAGCTCCAGTGCTGAGAGTCAGAGTGGTTGAGTGATGGACCCCAGCCTGACAGTCTGTGTGCGGTTTGTTAGAAAATCCTTTACCCAGAAACATATGTAATCACTGGCACCCAGGTTAAGCAGTTTGGTGACCATTCTGCTGGGAATGATAGTGTTAAATGCGGGACTAAAGTCCACAAACAGCATCCTTACAAATGTTCCCGGGTGCTCCAAATGATTCAGCGCGGTGTAAAAATAGGAGATAATCCACAATAGGAGCTTGAGCCAACACACGTAGAGAACGAGTAGACCTGACAAACACAAACTGAACAGACTAGGACTTAA